AACTGATATTCACGATGTTTAGAAATTTCGCTAAGATTCTAACTCAAAACACTTTTTAAAAATATTGAGACTATAGATTTTTGACATAATTTAATATAGATATTAATAACTTATGAAGAACTTTATGTTTCATTTTTAAGCAATTTTACTCAGAATTTAAAAATTGTTAATCGACATTTATAAAAAAATATACTAAAGATATTTTAAGTTTTTATGTTCCTAAACAGCTCAAAAATAGAAATACTTTGAAATATTATTGTAAATAGAAAAAGAAAATGATAGAATAAACTTTTTGTAAAAATGTAATTTTTTTAACTCTCCTCAAATTTTAAAATCGAAGCATTTTATCGACAACTTATCGTCTATTTAAAGAAAAAAAAAAAGAAAATCAATAATTCTAATCAATATATTCGTCGTTCCGTTTAAAATCTAAAAAGATAAAAAAAAATACATAAATTAAATTCAAACAATGTTTATTATTATTATTTTTTTTTTTGTAATTATTCTAATAAATCAATAGTTATTTAAAGTAAGAAAGTATTAACATATGATATGTACGTATTATGTGTGATACAAAAATCTAACATGATGAAATAAATTTTGTTCTAATTAATATTGTTTTTTTATTATTATTTTTAATTTAATTATTATATTTTTCGGTTTAAACTTTTATGTAATAAAAATTATAGAATGTTATTATTAATGTATGCTTGTATTCGCAAGCGTGTAGAAATTATGTATCTTAATAATATTGTTGTAATCGGCATTAAGAGATTATTGACTGTTATAGTACAATAATTCTCAATGCTGTTATCAATAGTTAATACTGCCGGTTCGGACTCAAATATAGAAAAAATATCAAGTATATTAGATTTTCCGATATATAATATATTTATTATAATTGTATAAGATCTAAGATTTTAATCCAAAAAATTAACATGTCGAATAAAACAATATCTCATTTTTGGAAACCTTAGAAACCTAAAGTTTTCTTCTACATAATATCTAATAAAAGATAAACAATAATAATAATATTTGCGATAAGTACGCAATATCATTCGTTTTTATGCATACCTATTACGTATGCGATTAATATATTAATATTAAAATAGTAACCTATAATAGCATGATTGTATTACATAATATTTTCATCTTCGATACGTTAATGATTTATTTTCGTGTTTTATTTATCAAGCATAATGTTTTTAAAATTAAAGAAATCAATAATTAATAATCTGTTGAAAATAAAATATTTTGGTTAAACTGATAGATAATTGTTTTGCTATATCATTCATCAGTAGGTACCTCTTTAATACTAAATAATAATTACCATACTATAATTTTATCATATACAAACAATGTGGATATTAAAATAAATTATATTCATATTTCATAATATGTATCTTTATTTAATATACATTGGAAAACATTGCTGTATGTCAGGAAGTTATAAATACGGTAAGGTGTTCTAATTTTCAATAGCTTTATTGTAGTATACTCTTATTTTATCAATGACTATTTATTATTAATAATACATAACAAGAAATAATTGCTTAAGGATTGTTCGTCATACACTCATACGAATGAAAAATTAAAATTATATGGCTTAGGTATAATTTATGAAATTATAAATAATTAATTAAATATTAAAATATCTATAAATAATTTAAAACTATTCAAATTATATAATTTATGAAAGTAATAAACAGTTATTATATTAACAATGTAGACAAATTTTAATTTGTTGCAAATATTAGTATATTTTTAACTAGGTACATTAAAATATCTAAAATCATTCTTTTTTGTTTTATATCGAACTATTAATAAATAAAATTAGGATCTTTTAATCAATAATACAATATTAGGACCTAACTTAATTTACGAGGAGAAGAAATCTAGAAATCTTGTATTAAATGTCCAAGCTTTTTGACTAAAAATAAAAAACCAATATACATCTTAATAACCATAATATATTTATCATTTCAAATGTTTATAAATATTATTTTTGAATTAAAACAAATGCTATGACCAATTCTAGTTTAAATTTGATTAAGTATTGCGTAAATATTTCTATATTGCTGTTATTTTGTACCTAACATTGTACTATTTCTTGAATACTTAGAAAAATATTTTTTCACTCGTCAAAATTAAAAACAAATTTCAATGAAAATCAGCTGATTATTTTATCAGTATATATCTTAAATTTTAAACTGGTTAGTATAAGTTATTTTTGTTTATAAAATAATGAAATATTTTTAAATGTTTCGATTTAACTTAAGATGGGTTTAGTGATTTAATATTGACCTTTATTAAAGATGAAAACTATACAAGAAATAGTTTGTATTGTAATGTGTTGTCAATAATATGATTCATTGTACGTATTATGATCATTAATTATTGTATAAATTATACGAAGTAGGCAATAGTTCAATAGTTCATAGTACCGTCTTCAATGAATACAAACCATGCAATAAGTTTTTATCACAATCAAAAAATACTCACAGTAAAAATATTATGCATGTAAATAATGTGTACAATAACGAATAAACATTTTCACTGTTTGAATATTTGTGGATGATACTTTGAATATACAAAACAACCTGTAAACAGTAAATTTGAAATTAAATACACTAAAATAATAGATTGTATTTATTTGATTCACAATTTTTTAGATCCCTATATTTAACAAAATAAATACAAACACAGTAACTTATTTCAATGTATTTTAAGTTATTTAATGTTCATATTATCGAAGTTATTTTTTTATTTTTTCATCACTCGATATCGTATTCTATAATTTTGTGACTCAAAAAATGATAATTCCATCCCCTTCAGAATTTATATTTGTCAAAATAAATATAATTATTATTTTTTTTTTCATAGTTAATAATTAAAATTTATATCTTGATGCGTGTAAATCGATATAAAATTTAGAATATCTTTATATGTTTTTTATTAACCACATTATTATAAACAAGGTATAATGCAACGTTATTAGAAAGCATTTTAGATAAAATGTAATGGATAAATTATTAATCGTAGTTATTTATACCAAAAACTAATTAATCGCATTATATATATTAATGTCAAATAATAAAATAATTTATTAATTTTGACTGTGGATACTTTAGATGTATTTATACCTTTAAGATAACGCTGATTTATGATAAAATAATATAATTGTATATAATTTTAATTGTATGAAACAAAATTAATATTCAGTTAGTCTTCATACAGACGTTACAAAGGATAGTAATTTGTATAAATATATCTAAAGTGATTTTTCCAAGTGCATAATAGAAACTTTAAACTGTCAATCATGTAAGTATGAAAAATATTATGGTTTATTATTTCTGTATTTTATTTTTTTTTTTTTTTTATTACACTCACAACTATAATTCATAGATGAATGAGTGAATGATCTTTGATAATTGGCCAATAAACATTTAAAACATCAAAATCTAACTAGGTATTTATAAATTAAAATTAAAATTTTAATAATTTCATTCATATGAAGTAAATTTTTTTTAAATTATATTTTATTGTATATTAACATTTATTTACATAATTTTGTTAAGTTATAAATTAACAACAATAATAAAGTAATTGTATAGCGCAGTTAAATAGGTTGTGTGTCAATAAAATTACATATAATAGGTGTCAATAAAGTTATGTATAATATTATTATGTTATACGTTTTATTTTATTATATATTACATAATGTTAGCAAAATTATTTGTCTTGGACTTGATAAATACCAATTTATTGAGTTCCATCAAGAAGAATCTTTAAAATAGGTGACTTTTTATAGAATATACAGGTACCATAATGCGGACTTAATAAATATTTCAAAGTTTAAGTCTGTTTAAATTTTAATAAGACATTGAAACATTTTTTTATTATTATTATTATTATTATTTTTTTTTTTTTTTTATGATATACTAAATAATTTACGAAAAATAGACTTATAAAATATAGGTAATAGTAAACTTCTATACTTAATTTTTTTTTTCTTAATATTTGTTTTTGTTGAAAAGTTTATAGAACTTTTAATGTATTTTTAATATAATTTTTTCAATTGTGAATATATTCAGTTTGTAATATTAGCGTGCTATAACAAAAATGTCTCACAAGTCTTTTGTTAAGATTTAATAATCAACTTTATATGCACATTCGTTTATTATTTACTATAGATTATTATACATTCAAATTTATTGAACAACAAAATATTATGAACAGACAATATATCACGAGTATTTTCATACAAATCAGATTTTAAATACGACTATTTTAGTAAGCTATTTAATTGAGTATCTAACATATTCATTCAACAACCATATTTTCTTCATTCATTAATAAAACCTACGAATTGGCTTTTTGTCTTAATTCATTGCGAATAGCGTTCTTTAGACTTAACATTGCTGTTGTATAAATAATTATTATGCATATACGTAATATTAAATTAGTTCTGAATAGTTTTATTTAATAATGACTAGGTAATATTATTGATTATATAAAACTAAATAATGTTTAATGTATACAATAAAAATACAATAAAATAGTTTAAATTATTTTTAACTATTTACTGGAAGCAAGCCTTCTACTAAAAAATAATTTTAATCAAAGTCCAAATACAAATTAACAATGATTAAATAACAACAATCATATAATAACCTATGGTGAATGTATTTAATTTATAAATATAGGTTGAATATGATTTTTATATCACTATATCTTTAGAATGAATGATTTGATAAAATTGATAAAAAAATAAATTCCTATAATAGGTAGGTGCATCTACCACCTATTTATATATATATTTTAATATAAATTACAGTAAAGTTTACAAGAAAACAAGCTCGTTAGTGTACAATTTCTTGTTATCTCATCAAATATTATTTCATGAAAAAAAAAAAAAAATAATAATAATAAAATTATTATAAGATATCGATTAAAAAAAAAAAAACATATGCATCCGTTAGTAATAGTGAATGTCGTTGGCACAATAACTAGTTTATTTTACATGCGTTAAATTGATGGATTTAAGAATAAATTGTAAAAACGTAAATCGTGTGTCAGTCGTTAAAAATTAGTGCTTTTTTGAGTTTAAAATAATGTTTTAATAAACTGATTTAACAATTGGAAAAATAATTTAGAAATGCTGAATATAATATTGTTTCAATCACGCATGTACAATTTTAGCTAGTTGTATGGTTTTGATAAATTTTAAAAATTTTTTGTTGTTGTTAAATTCGTTTGGTACTAATGGCTAAAGGTTCGTCTTCTGGTGGTAACCATAGTCCTAAGAGAAAAAACAGCAAATCTAGTAGAGTTAACAGAAACCAACCAACCTTAAATGGATCAGATACAGTATGTAATTTATTACAAGCCATATTATTACGTAAATATTGAAGTGAATAATAAAATTCAATACATTTATTTATACAATTATCATTATCATTCAAATTTCAATAATGCCATATTAATATGCAAGGTAAGCTGGAAAAACTAAACCAATAATATAAATATCTTTAATTTTATTTAATGTCATAATACAGAAAACAATTTAAATTTAGCTATTAATTATTATTATATGACAATTTATTATCAACTTAAAATGATGACTAATTAACGTATCAATGGAAATTCCAGCTATTTAAAATAATTAATTATTAAATTATCTTAAATTTTTAAAATTAATTAATCTTATTGAAACGTTTTTAATTTTAGGTAGGTACCCACATATACATATATATATAATATTAACACATATAAATACATTTAACATTTTGTTATTCTTAAGCATAACTTTCATATTAATTGAGTATATAAACGAGGACAAATGTATCATAACATAGTTATAAAATAAAATTTTTAATTCTTGTAACATATTATATTTTAAATCGTATCTGATAATTATTATTAGTAAGTATTATTTTACCAGCCGTATTTTTATTTATGAAATGAGGTCATATTGTTATTTAATATAGAAATCATTTATTAATAGGTATATAAATTAATAAGGTTCCTAAATTATTATTATAGATATAATACAAATTAATAAATAATGAGTTACTGATGTTAAATAAATATAAGTATTCTTTTTGATTCATAGTTCAATGGCAAAAAATATGGAATATTATTAATATAATATAATATTTAGAAAGTATTACATTGTTATAAAATTAATACTTATTTTAAATTTGTTATTATTTTATAATTATTGTATTTACTGCACAATAGAGCTAACAGACAAATAATATTTAATTTTAACCTTTATTTAATTTATATAATATATATTTTTTTACTTTTTATTAAAATAAATAAATAATTTCAAAGTATAGTAATCGACGTTAATTAAACTCACTTTTATATCAGACTATTTGATTCCATCAACCAAATGAGTCAATAAGGCGATAGACTCATAAAAATACACATATTATCTTTTAAAAATGTAAAATATTAATTAAGATTTCAATTTAAAATACATATTTACTAAAATATGTATTTATATTTATTTTATTATTATATTATGTAGAGATAAATATGTAATAAAATGTATAATAATATGTAATATAACGTATTGGTAATTGGTAATAAAAAAAAATATGATTTAAATATGAATTAACAGCACGTTTGTTTTATGTACCTATGTACATATTTTATTTATTTATCTAATTCTTAAATTATTACTAGATATAATTAGTAATAATTATATAATTATATAATTATTATAATTATTTATTATAATTAGATGGTTTTTTTGCTGTTTGTTAGGTAGTATAGGTACGTGCTAATTGGGATCAGCTGTTTTGAGTATAGTAGGCACATTAGTCATATAAATCTAATCTAATATCCCCAAACTATGTTTTAGTTTCGTCCAATATTTGTCAAATATTTTTATTTTTTTATAATTGAGCCAATACTTTCAGTGCGGAATTAAAGAGGGTTATTTTTTGATTAGAAAACTATAAGTCAATCTAACGTGATTGGTTCTAATCAGATTTTTTTTATTGAAATATATTTGTACTTCTATTAGTCGATAACTGACTTATTTGGCTAGTTTGAAAATTTAACTGATTAATGGCTATGTATTTATTCCACACAAATCAAGAACAAGGGATTTTGTTTAATTTGATTTCTTACGTCAGCGTATGGAGAAGTATGGAAATGATATATCAGGTGACTGTATTCTTAAATTATTCTGTAATTTTATAACTTTTCTGAATTAAATTATTGATAGTTAAAATTATGTACGTTAAGAATATGTTGTTTGTTACCAAGAATATTTCAATTCATTCTTCACTTTTTTTATTATTTAGGTATTCACTAATCTTTAATTTTTGTATAAAACAAACAATTTCAAGTCTAATTGCACGTAGACTAATAGTCTTAAAATTAAGCATATATAGTTAATTATAAACAACATTTTTTAATATCAATGATGGTATTTAAAATTTTGACTTTTTTTCATGTTAAGAGAGAATATACCTAGATACTATTTTTATGGTTTAGTAGGACATAACGTACGTATGAACAGTTAAAATTTCAGGGTGGTCACTTATTCGAGAACCAGAATCACTAGCTTAACACCATATCTTGACTATTATATTGACATTATTTTTGTAGTAAATTTATGTCATATGCTTTTGTAACTTAATCAAACATACACAATTATATTAAACTATAATTGTTTAGTGATGTTAATACTTAAACAAAATATCTCTATGGTTAACGTTTTATAAAAACAATATTAGATGTGATTTAATTAACTATCGTAATCTATAAATGTTTTATTAACACTGATAAATGTATAAACATAAATCAAATTTTAAAATTGATAAAATAATATATTAAACGTTTAATGAACTATTCAGTTGTATATGTTATGTAAAAGTGATAGATGTTATATTATATCTGATTATAAAGGATACAAATATTTTACCTGAAGTTAACTTAAATTTTTTTTTTTGTGCAGAGAATTTGAATTTTGTCGTTTTGAACTGAAACCATTGCACATGTCTGGTGATGTTTTATTGACGTTTTTTTTCCACTTAAGAATTGCAGTATAATAGTATAACTTACAGTATACTTGCGCACTCACTTAGAAATTGGGCATTGTTCCCATAGCTCTCGTAGGAGGGTGCCAGAACAAAAACTAAAATATAAAAAAAATAAAAAACACCAGACTAGCAAGATAATAATAAAAAAGAGGTACTTGCTAATGTCACCAAAATGTCCAGTCGCCAGCTGTACGGCCAAAGAAAACTTGAGTAAATATTTAACACTGTGTATAAAAAACTGTTTGGAACGGAAAGAACATATATTCATTTGACATATGCCACCATGTACTCGTTATTATTTTTCAAACATTATAAACTTAAATTAAGCACTTTTCGAGTGTTTATCGCGTTTCAATATAATATTATGTTATATCTGATATCGTTACCCTGTCCGCGTGGGTTTTGTGAACCGGAAAGGGTGAAGTTGAGTGTTATTGTTCCATATTTTCGTGTTTGCAATGTTTGAATACTTTATTATACACACGGCTTCTATCAAAAATAAAAGACAAAAGTTTTGAGTAGACTAAAAAATTGTATGTTGAATTTTTTTTTTTTTTATCAATTAGAAAGCAGAAAAAACGATTAACATATTTCAAAAATACCCATTCAATAATAATAACTACGCCAATAATACATTTAATTTTTCTTCAAGTTGAATCAATTTTGCAAAATTTACTAGCCTACCTATAAACTCAATGTATGTTTTACCCAAAAATAAAGCTGACGAAATTCAAATAAAAAAGTATTTGTTAAATGGTAACGAAGAGGTATACTATGAAATATAAGAAACCATAATCCCAGCAAAAAAATCCTCTGTCATCATAAATATATTTTACTGGACATAAATGTGGCTATACAATATCAGAAATAGTGCCAAAAATATAAAATTCCATAGAAACCCAAAAATGTTCTCATGTAATTTATATATAAACAGAAATACGTTTAAATCTTTTTTGAACATCAACATATAACGCATATGAACTATTTTATTTCGCTTAGAACAATACGTTGGAACTTGGAGCGTTGTAGTCAATTTATCATTTATAAACAATTCTGTTATTCGATAACATTTTACGGTTTAATTTATCATCATAATATATTATTATTTAATATTTTACTAAATAGAGTTCAAAAATCAAAATACAATTTTATTCAAATTCAATATTTATATTGATTCTAAGAAAATTAAAATAAATTCTATAGTAATATTATCATTATTATACGACGGTTTAAGGAAAATCAAAAATGGTACTACCAGTTTTGTAACCGGGTAAAAACGACCTATGTATTTATTTTTGTGTATTTAAATTAGGGTAAATTATAATTAAATTATTTATGCGGTTTGAATTAATAATAATAATATTAATAATTATTATTATTATTATTATTTTGTTTAGCATTTAAAACTAGAAAAGCGTATACCTAATATTAAATATAAAAATTTTCTTATTGAAATTAAAAAAAAAAATTACTCTGTAAAATATTATTCTTAAAATTTTTATAACATAATAATATATTTAAATATTGTTTGGATTACACTAATATTGATTAAAATAAGATTGAAAAAAAAAACAAATCTATTAGTTGCATTTATATATTAAATATGTAAGGGACAATGCCACCCAAACATATATCTCCTCATGAAGTTGCATACTTAATTAATAAATCACAGAAACACAAATCTCTCAGCTATGATTTAATCACATCCAAAGTTGTAGTTCATTTCCCAAAAAAGGCGTTACTGTTCCTCACTTTTATTTACAATTCCATGATAAGGCTCGTCTACTATCCCTTACTCTGGAAATATTCAATAATAATAATGATCCATAAGTCAAGCAAACTAACAGAAATGCCTCAATCATTTCGACCAATCAGCCTCTTACCTTACTTCTCGAAAATTTTCGAAAAACTGATTCTTAAACGCCTCTTACAAATCATAGAAAAAAACCTTCCTAATACTCAATTTGAGTTTAGACACAATCATTCCACAGTACATCAGATCCACCGTCTTGTGGATAAGATCTACTTTTCTCTTAAAGAAAAGCTCATATGCACAGGAGTGTTCCTGGACGTTGAACAGGCATTTGATCGAATTTGGAACCAAGGGCTTTTCCACAAAATTAAAATACTTTTCCCTCCATACTTGTATCTACTTATAAAATCATATTTTAGCGATCGCCACTTCTCTGTGCACTCAGGAACATTTTTTTCAAATATTTCTAAAATAGAAGCTGGTGTTCTGCAAGGTGCAGTTATTGCACCACTCCTTTTTAACATCTACACCGCGGATCAACTCACTATTCAAAA